ATTTTATTCTTGCAGAATATGGTTCATTCAATATTTTTTTTTATAATTAACATGCTTAAATATTTATACAACATATTATCAAGAATAATATTTTCTAAAGAATACAGATTTTATTATTTAAGAATCACTAATTACATTAATTCGTAAAGAATAAGATTAGACAATTATTACATTCATTCTGAAAAAATATGACTACTAATGTTTTAAGCATTACATTTATTTTTAGAGACTAAAACTAATAATGGTTAAAAAAGAAAAAAACATCAAAATCTAACAAAAATATTAATCCATTTTGAAAGAATATTATTGTTAATAAACATTTTATGCATTCTGGAAGAATACATTCTGCTACAATACTCTCATTCTCTATGTTTTTCTTTTTTTCCATATCAATGAGAGCCTCTTTAAAACCTAAATCCACAAAGAAAACATAATTAACTTTCAAAAATTAAAAAATTTCGTGTATTTAAGAGAATAAAAACTATAAGTTATGATAGAATGTAATAAACATTATTAATTCATTTTGTTAAATTGATGTTGATGAAATCATATTTTGTTAGAATGTGATGTTCAAAATTCTTGACATTAATTTATGGTTAATATTTTGTAACTTTACATGCATTCTTAAAATTATCAAAATTAAGAACCATATTGTTTGTAAATGAAACTGTTAAAGGAGTTTACATTAACAATCGTGTCGAACCCCATGTGTATAGTTTCATAAGAGCATTAGGTATGGGCCCGTTGAGGTGGTGTTATAACAACTTATAACACCAAGGGGGAAATGGTGTTCATGGTGTTATGACCATGTTATGAGGAGGTTAAGAGGAGAAAATTAGAGAGAGAAGAAATGTATAGCCAATCAATGTTCTCGTTTCAATATGTCATAACGCCAACAAGATATGCCATAACACCAAGGGGAAATGGTGTTTATGGTGTTATGACCATGTTATGAGATGCCACATCAGCAAAAATACCACTTCTCGTTGCCCATACCATATGCTCTAAAAATTACAAATTCTATGATCTATTTGTAAACCACTTTGATTTTTTTTATAACGAAACCCATAAAAAGAAATTTCAATACCACAAATTTACAATTTCTATTTAAATCTCTTAATTCAAAATTTCAATGATAAAGGTCGGTGGTAATAAAGACGATTTGGTGAACTTGGAATATTGAGAAGTATAATTTCAAACCTGATTGGATGTTTAATTTCGGGTCGACAAAGGTGAGATTTCCATCATTTTATATCACCATTCCACTCTACAGGTTGCACACATCCAAGGTTGATCCCACATGTGTTATCAATTACTCATCAATGTGGAGCTTCCACGCACATCTTTTCTACCAGGCATTTCGTCAAACACCTTTAGGGACACCTAAATCATCATGCTTTATAGAATATCACTAATGAAATGAACTAAATCCACCCACATCAAAAGGATTTAATAATAAAGACACCTTGAACACCATTACCAAATTACATATCAAAATTTTGCTAAAAAGGATATAAGAATATGATTACGTGTGATTAGAAGTATAGAGGAAGTCCGTATGATGTTTTGCAACTAAAAGATATATAAGAATATGTTTACCTGTACAGAATAGTGGCAATTAAAAAAATAGGAAGTAATTACCGTGTGTTTAACATTCAAATTAGATTTCAAATAGGAAGTGTGAATCCAAAAATAAAAAGTTTTGAAATTACCGTGTGTTTAGCAGTTTCAAAAGAGTAATGCATTGTTGTGACTTGAACTATCGGTTGTAAAAATTGTCCATAATTTTGTGGTGGTTATCGTTGCGTTCGAAACTATCGGCTCATATCAAAATCTGGTTGTTGTTGGCGTTGATTGAAAAATGGAGATGTCCTAAATTGTTGATTTGGATTAAATTGTGGTCGCACTTTTCCTTGCCACTGAAACTGTTGATTCCAATAGTATAGAGGCGGTGGTGTGATCTGTTGGTACATATTTGGTGGAGGTGGCTATCTCATGGTTGTATATTTCGACTATGGTGGGTGAAGAAGATAATCGTATTCGAGTTTGATGAATACTGTGATATAGAATTAGGGTTATGAAGATGAAGGAATCATGATTTAAGGGATCAATTAAGGTAATTAAAGATTTTAATTATTTACCATAAATAATTACAGCTAAGTTACTAATATATCCTTATCAATTTAATTAATTATTTATTATTTCCATAATTCTTATAGGTTTCTAAAAGCACACAATAATTGTCAAAAACATATATATATATATATATATATATATATATATATATATATATATATAAATGGTCTTCTCTCTCTCTCTCTCTCTCTCTCTCTCTCTCTTTTTCTCTTATTTCACAGATCTTCAGCCTAAATCCTCAAGTCAAACTAGAATGGATTAAGAAAACCATACGGAAATTCGATCACGAAGTCATTGTCGATATCATAGCCAAAAAATTGTGGATGGTTTGGCATTATGGTTCCTATGATTCAAAACATGACGA